AGTGCTACAGAATCAACTTGGAATATCCCTGACAACAATTAGAGAGCTAGGCCTAACCATTCTACTCTGTGTTTGCAGCCTCATTTTCACCACAATGACTTCTAAATATGACAAGATTAAGGAGCTCTACAGACAGCCCCTAAGGGGCGGGTCCGTGCCACTCCTGGGAGCACTGGATCGGGGCCACAGCAACTGCACGCTGCAGCCTCAATTTGGCACTTTGCTGTTCCAAAAAGAGCTGGCAAATGCTGCTCCTTTTTGGAGTAGCAAAAAGCCACTATGTCAGCTTTCCTGTGTTCCTTTGGTGCAGTGTGTTTGTACGCTGCACCAAGGGAGCACCTTGATGGCTCCCACCATGCATTGGGGTGCACAGTGTGGCGGTGGCATCGGGGCAGAGTTGGGGCAGCCGACATGCAGTCACCACACCCCAACTCCACCCCCAGGCCGGCCCTTTTGGCCGGTCTGTACAGGGCACTAGATATCCTCAATCCATCCCATCTCATTTTCACATCTACGAGCATTTAAAAAAAAAAATTAGAAAGAACATATTTTTGAACACATTGCCTTTCAAAGTATATTATACTTAGTATCACAAAATATACATTTTAAAATTTATTTTGATATATTTTGTGGTACTGTGTCACAACATGTGGAGGGTATCCAATCTGCATATTACCTCAGATGGTACAGATCAAGTCAGTTAATATTAGAATTCACAAAGTTCAAAATCCTTGAGAATCGCTAAATATGACCAAAGGTATTCTGAGGCTTGGCTTATGTTTCTTGAAGAACAATGTTCAGAATTGCTGAGGGCATTTTTAAAAAGAATCACCCAAGACATTTCTAAATACTAAAAACAACCAGAGTTTTGGTTGATAAAAAAGGCTTCCAACCTGAGTCCTTTCACATAGAAATAAGTTGTTTATGGTTGTAGATGTAAGAACCATTGCCTAGAATTGAGCTCAGAAACAAATAGAAAATGAATGGCAGCAGATGGGGGGGATCATGAAAATATTAACAACTCCGTTTGTTGATCTGTTGGTCAGTAATGGAACCACTCATTATGTAGTGAAAATGTAGTCATTATAAAGAGTCAACATGGTATAATGCTTTGAGTGCTGGGCTAGGAGTTCAGAAGGCCAGGGTCCAAGTCTCCACTTGGTCATGGAAACCCACTGAAAGATTTGAGGCAAGTCACATTTTCTCAGCTTCCAGGAAGCATTGGCATACCTTCTCTGAAAAAACTTGCCAAGAAAACCTTTTTTTGTAATATTTTGTATATGATACAAAAATTTGTATATTTTTAACCTTGCATGTTTGCATTGTAATTCTCTCCATTTCATAAGTGATCTTGAGTCCCATATTTGGGGAAAGGTGGAGTACAAATAAAGGGATGGGTGGGTGGGTCATGTTGCATGCCTTTGAGATGTCTAGAACTTATACTAGGGTTTTCTTGACAAGATTTATTCAGAGGAAGTTTGCCAGAGTGTGACATCCTCAAGGTCATCCAGTGAGTTTCCATGGCTGAACAGGGATTCAAACAAGGGTCTACCAGAGTTCAAGGGCCTCTACAGACCGGCCCAAAGGGGTGCTAAAGAGCTGTTCACTGGCTCTTAGGGCGGCCTTTTGCCATTCCTGAAAGAGCATTTTGCCGCTCTTTCAGAGGCAGCAAAAAGGAGGATTGGGGCTGCAGTGCGCGGTTGCTGTGGCCCCGATTCGCAGCTAGCAGGGGCGGCCCAGAGCTGCCTGTCTGCATAGCCCCCAAGCCTAGTAATCAAATCACTATACCAGACATTTCCTATTTACCAGATCTTGCATCTGAGATATTGAGTTCAGAGTCCTATATGTGTGCATCCACATAATCTAAAACTCTTCTTGGGTTCTGTTCCTATGATTCCTATAGTAAGTACTGTAGTCTCCTATAGTGTTCTTCCATTAACAGAAGAAGCATTTTGTATTAACTATGCCCCAGGAGATGAAAGAGTTGCTTAAGCATGTATTCAAGGTGTGAGTGGTCTATTTTATTTTCAACAGTGTTGTTAATATAGTGGAAATGAATGCTGCTAAGCACCGCCTCAAATGAAGCAGACAACACTGCTTCAACATGTGTTGAACTCATTTTTATCCTCCAACACACAATATAGTTATGTGGCTGTTAAAGTCTCTGTGCCCCTCCTTTTGTGTTTCAAAGCGTCCTAGCCTCAGCCATGTGGAGTATTTCAGGCTGAATCTGTTTTGATTGCTCCCAGAAGAGTTGCTTGGCACAGCTCAGGAGGTTTGACTCAGATCTTCCCCACTGGCAGCAGTGACAGCATTTCTGGCTGCATCCCCTACACAAATGTTCCTAACAGTTTCTCAAGCTCAGCTCTCACAGCAAGGTGCTTGGTGCCAAGTGGTTAAAATGCTCTCATGTTGCAGTTAGTATAAATATTTTTTTTAACATACTATTAATTTGCTGGACTCTATTTTCAACCAGCCAATCTGGCATGGGATTTCTGCACACCTGTCTTGACATGTACTCATTCATTCTCAGTTTCACTCATTCCCCCATCTCTTTTTGCCTCCCCTCCCCATCCCCCTTCACAAAGGGAGAGAGGGTCAAATAACAAGAGAAGGGCTCTCTTTCCTGAGTGCTATTCAAATAGGAGTTTAATTCAGTGGTTGCCATAGGCTCTTTCACACTACACAATTATAGTACTATGATTCCCTTGAACTGCCATGGCTGTTTCCTATAGACTCATGAGGTTTTTACTTTGGTAAGGGTCTAGAACCCTAGTCTCTGTCTGACAGTTCTAAATATTCTCCCTAACCTACAAATCCCACAATTCCATAGAATGTTGGCATGACAGTTAAAATGGAATCAAAGCACCATAATTGTGTATTGTGGTTGGACACTTTATGACCCACAAACACTACCTATTGTTAGTGAGGGAGGAGGTCATTGGGTTTCAGTCCCTTATATCTATTTTCAGTTGGACCTTGGTATCCATGGGAATCTGTTCTGGACACACACATACAAACACACCTGTGGATACAAAAAATGCAGGACCTCAAGTCTCATCCCTAATGGTGGTGTGATGTGCACGCATCTGCTAGTGCAACCGCATGCATTTGCCACCATAGGGGATAAAGGGCCTAACCGTCCATGGATGCTTAAATCCCCAGATGGCAAGCCTGTGGATAGCGAGGCCTTGCTATATATTGTCAATTCCAAGCCTTAGAACATCTGAGCTATTTTTATAGAGAATTAAGCATAGCCTCTCACTATTTTCACTCTGGTTTCCAGACTGGGTTGTTCCCAGGCTGTGGAGCTCCCTTCCAAAGGAAAGCAAGCTACTCTCTCTCCACTGCTTCAGAGTGAAGGAAACACCTCTGTGATCACACTTAATAATCAACTGAACATCTAAGAGAGAGGCAGTGTTGCAGCAAATCTAAGGAAACCTTCAATTCATTAAAAATATTTTGCCTTTTATGACCATGAACTAAGGCTTTCTAATATAGAGGCCCCTGACTGTCTAAATAAAAATGAGGGACAGAACCAGAGGAGAGAACAGCCAACAATTAATCCTTCTAACTGTCCCTGTTCCCTTTCTCAGTCTACCATCTCTCTCCTGCTTTGTGTCTCATTCATTCTTATATTGTGTATGAGACACAAGGCTGGACAGAGGCTGAAGATCTGAGAGGTAAACATGGATGATCTCCACTGCCACTGCCTCGAAGGCAAAGCAGGTGGCTGACAGCAAAGAGTTTTGGGTTTTGGAGGTTTTCAGATTTTGAATTTCCAGATTAGGGATGTTTAACCTGTACTACATTAAAGACTATGATGTTTAATCCTCAGGGTTTTGTTTTGTTTTGTTTGCTTGCTTGTTTTTTTGTTTGTTTTTTTGCCTGTGATATTGTTACCCTGAGACCTAAAGGCATGAGATCTCATCTGAGCTTGGAAGCTAAGCAGGGTCTGTTCTGGTTAATATTTGGATGAGAGATTGACAATGAATACCAGGTGCTGTGGGCTATATTTGCAGTGGAAGGAACTTGCAAAATCACCTCTGAGTATTTCTACCCTAAGAAAACTGTATGGAATTCATGGAGTCATCGTAAGTTGACAGGTGACACACATGCAATGTATTGTTGACAGTCAACTCTCTCTCTCTCTCTCTCTCTCTCTCACACACACACACACACACACACATTACCTTAAGGCTGAATATGCCAGATCAACATTCCATCCTGTAACAGCAGTTTTCACAAGGCTGTACTTTCAAAGGACATCTCCTTTTTTTTAATGCCATTTTTTCCCAAACACATATTTGAAAATGTTTGTGAATATCTGGCCAGGGGAGGGGTGAGGATGTTATGCATTAGCTGCTGCTGCTGTTGTTGTTGCTGTGTGCCTTCATGTCCGCTGACTTATGAAAATCCCATCCTAGGGTTTTCTTGGCAAGATTTATTTGGAACAAGTTTACCATTTAGGCTGGCAGAGTGTGACTTGCCCAAGGTCATCCAGTGGACTTCCATGGCTGAGAAGGGATTTGAACTTTGGTCTCCCAGAGCATTACACCATAGTAGTGCCTTAGTTATTGTGCTTCCCATTTTATTACAATGTAAGAATATGCTTAATATCTTAATTTTTAGATCTATTTCCCAAATTTCCAAACTTTGTTAAGATTTCTTTCCCATAATCAGATTAAGATAAATATGTCACCTTGAGAACAGATTTATTGTTGTGGCTCATTAAATTTAAGATAAATTTGGCCAGTCCATTGTTGATGCCTGTACTGATGATCATTCATTCAACTGTTTTGTTTTAATCTGTTTGGTAAGAACATCTTATTTCCATTATTTTAACCAAATTATTCTTTGTGTTTGTTTGAATATCTTATTTATTCTCTCTAATGAAATGTAAAAAGTTTAAATAGTAATAATATACAACTATAAGGAGTATACTTAAGCATGCCTATTTAAACACTTCTCTGTTTAGCTAGAAACAGCACAAAAAGAGAGCCAGACTGGTGTAGTGGTTTGAGCATTGGACTATGACTCTGGAGGCCAGGGTTTGAATCCCAGTTCAGCTGTGGAAACCCACTGGGTGACCCTGCCTAAATTACACACTCTCAGCCTCAGAGGGTGGCAATAGCAAGCTTCCTCAGAAGAAACTTGCCAAGAAAACACCATGATAGGATCTTAGGGTTGACATTAGTCAGAAAGACTTAAAAGCACACAATAACAACAGCAACAAAGTACACAAAAACCATTATGCAGATATATTTAACATCATGCAGATATATTTAACTTCTACATGAAACCACTGAGACAGGTCGTCCGGAGTTTTGGAGTAAGGTGTCACCTGTATGCTGATGATACCCAGCTCTATCATGCCTTTCCACCTAATTCCAAGGAAGCTGTTTCTGCCTTAAACCAGTGTCTGGCCACTGTAATGGACTGGACGAGGGCAAACAAATTGAAGCTTGACGCAGATAAGATAGAGGTGCTCCTGGTGAGTTGAAAGACAAATCTGGGAATAGGGATTTTATTTCCAGCCCATGATGTACTTCTGCCTTCCAAGATACTGTCTCTCTCCCCAACATGATTCAGTTTAAAGCCCTCCTGATCAAATGTTTGAGACTATAGGCAAAAATGCTTCTCCCAACTGGTGTGAGATGCAGCCCATTTCTTGCTAGAAATCCACCCTCATAGAACCGCAGCCCATGATCTAAGAATTCAAATAATTCTTGGTGGCACCATCTACAGAACCAGTTATTCACATCTGCTATCTTCCTCTCCCTTCCTGGACTATGCCCTTCAACTGGGAGAAAAGATGAGATGTGTGTCCAGCTCTTTCAGTTTCCTACTCAAGGCCTCATAATCCCTTCTGATATTCTGAAGACTGTGCCTTGCAGTATCATTAGTTCTCACATGGACCAAGAGGAAGGGGTAATGGTCTGTAGGCTTCACAAGTCTTGTCAGCCTCACTGTCGCATCACAGATTTTTTCCCCCAGGGAGACAACACACTTCCCAGGACATCTTGTCAGGCCCACAAACCACTGCTTCTGTACCCCTTAACAAGGAATCCCAACCACAACTGCATGCCTCCTCTGAGGCTTAACAGTAGCTGTACCCTGCGGTGGTACTCTTAGGGTCCCCTGCACTGTCCCTGAGAACTATCCCTGCTGCTCTTCCTCTTCCTCTTTGATTAGGGAGAGAGCTTCAAATTAATTCTGAAGTTGCAAGCTCCCAGAACGATCCCTGGTTTCCCTACTTCAGTGTGTGACATTCCTCCAGGTATCCACCCCCTGCGTACATGAAATGACCTCCTCCTCAACAACTTCCTCTGTGTGGTCCCCGTCCAAGACCATTTGTTCCACTCTGTCCAGGAAAACCTCTTGTTCCCTAATATGCTGAAGTGTAGCTACCCAGGCCTCTAGCTGCTTGACTTTCTCTTCCAGGAGGGCTACAAACTTGCACTTGGTGCAGGTGAAGTTCCCCAACATTTCTTGGCAAGAAGACAAACATCCCACAAGATCGTTATATTTTGTGGTAGAACTATGTTTATGTGGAAAAAATATCATGTTCTTTCTGCAAAAAGAAAAAAAAACTTGTGAAATTTTTACCTAAATGTCACAAAATGTGTGTGGGGGGGGAAATCAAAATGTTTTGAAAAATACTTACAGTCTTGCCCAAGTGAGAGAAAACTTTGATTTTGGAGGGGGAGAAATTCTTGCATGTGAGAATGAAATAAGTGAATAAATGTTAGAATTGGTAATAAAAAAACAATCTATGGAAGAAGGAGAGAGGGTAAACAAGGGAGGGATTGAGAGAGAGAGAGAGAGATCCTCAGTGAATAATCCTTAGCGCTTACTCTACAGTTAATAAAGTTTTGTATTTAATTTAAGCCTTGTTGTCATCCATTACATTTAAGTGACACAATAATCTGAAGTTTGATTTATATCCTTTGAATGTAAGAAAAGTAGAAAGTTAATTAACTTTATAAACTCAAAATCTGTGAGGAGAAAAAAATAACCATTAAATGAAAATATTTATGAATGTCAAAAACATGTATAATTTGCAGCATATATAAGAAGATTATGATACAGTGGACCTTTGGTATATGCTGGGGTTTGCTTCCAGGACTCCCCATGGATACCAAAATCTGTGGATGCTCAAGTTCTATTATGTACATTGGCACAGTGAAATAGTGTGCCTTTTATAGAATAGCAAAATCTTTCAAAGCTTTCTTCTTCTTCTTCTTCTTCTTCTTCTTCTTCTTTTAAAAAAATATTTGCAAGCCATGGAAATCCACAGAAGCAGGGAACCAACAGTATTTTTAAAAATAAATTTTAAGATTAGGAGGAACAATAACTTTACTGAATGACATATGCAGTTTGCCGACAGTTTTAAAGCAGATTCCTCCTCCCAATAATCAATGTAAATCAAGTTCATATTACAAAGAACTGTATTGTATCTGATTCTCATTCATTCCTTTAGTGTTCCTGTAATCAATTATGCTGTGTTCTTAGTTCTCTGCAGTGATTTTTTTGTATTTATGGAGCATATCAACCCTTATGTTTTGATTGGCTGATTAATCAAAACTGCTAACTAATCAAAACATCAAGATTTGCATAATAGAATTATTGTTTTCAATTAATAGAGTTAAGAAACTAGAATTGAGCTGTGCTGGTTTTTTCCTAATATGTCCTTGCTTCAGTTGGCTTCAGCACTTTAAATTCTCACAGTGTTTACTAGTAGAATCAATATATGACTAATTTTCCACTTTTTGAGCCCACCTCCAACAGAAAGTGGAAGATGGTGGGGGGTGGGGGGAGGCAAGCCGTAATGTTCTAAATGGTACAAGATAAAAATGGTGAAATAATTGCTTTCAAAGGGCTTAAAACCTGAATCTTATATCTTTCTATTTCCTGTGCTTTATTTCACTTCACTGTCCCATTTTTATATGTAATGCATTTCAATAAACCCAGCCTTCACTTGTGTGACTATTTTAAATTTTAGTGTAAGAGGAAAGCATCCTGGTAACTGGAAAATGTGGGGTGGGTGCGTGTGGGGAAGCATTATAGGACTAAAGAGATACAAAGATCTTTTTTTTTTTTTTTTAGTCTGGACAAAACAAAGGCAGGAGATCAAGGGGTAATCTAGATTCTTTTTTAATTTTACCTTTTTAGTATCAGGGTTTATTCTGATTCTGTGAAGCATCAGTATTTATTTCCTTCATGTTCACACACCAAATGAAAATACTTAATGGTAGGAATTTGTTTCTCACCTTGGTATGGACAGAACAAAAAAGTGGGAAGCACTTATTCACAGTGGAAGAATGAAAGGAGACCTTCCTTCCTTCTAATAGGAGCCTTCCTTTTAATACTGAGAAGGTCCACTTTTATAGAGAGTGCAGACTGCAACTCCAGAAATTTGTGAGAATTGCCACTGAACAAGGCCAATTGGTGATAAGACCAAAACATGTTGTTTGTTAAGAAAGAAATGTTTTTGGATCATCACACAACACGTGCCACTTTGTCTTCACCTTGGTATGGGCCAGATTAATTCTTGATCTTCCTCCCCCCCTCCCCCAGATTTAGGAAGGACAGAGAGCTTTGATCCTTTACCTTAGTGTCAAACTACAGATTAAGTGGAATGTGCATTTCCTGTGATAATCCTGTTTCTTCTTTCATAATGGGATTGAGATTTCCTCAGAGATGTGTGCCTAAGGAATTAGGCTTCCAAATTAAGCATGTTTTTACCTTCTAAGAACCAATCACAAAAACAAGGCACACTGAATGCAAAATACATAGATGAGGACAATCAGATGTTTTAACAAATCAATATCTTTCACACTTGAGGGAGCACCTTTTCTTAAAAACAAAGATGCATGCTAAATGTATTGTCTGGTTTTGGTCCCTTAATGTCAGCTAGTAGGGTTACTAGGCATTCATAGGCCTCAGTTCAATTGTTAGTCCCAACTAGAATAGATTATTGAGCTAATGGAATATACAGTATGTATATTGATAGATTTATCGAGTCCTCACTGGTTCAGTGGATCTAATCTTGGAGCTAAACTTTGTATTTATGCTATAAATCCAAGGCATATTAATACCATCTCTGAAAAGAGAGTTGGGATGGAAATAATGATTATTTTTGTAAGGCCCCCACAAACAAAGAGGCATTATGCTCCTTTGCTGTACCTAGAGGAATGAAGCATTTGAAGAATAATTTCCTAATTTAAAAAAATAAAAATCATGGGTTCCTTAAATACCATCTGTTTCCTCCTTTTCCAGCTCATTTTTCAGATAGTACCTTTCCTCTCTGTGGTAGCAGAAGCAAAGCAAAGCAAACAAAAAGGCCAAGAGAAAGCAGGCTGACCCACAGAGATGTGAAACACTCTTATAGAAGATAATGCCTAAAATTGTTGTGCTTTTATTATTTTCCCTCAAGTTAAGACCCACAGTCATTTGTGTGTGTGGTGCACTTCTTTTTTTGACTCAAAGCCTAATCTGTATGATATATTATCTTAGTTCAAGGGTGAATATGTTATAGCTTACAGTAACCATATCGATCATAAGCATATTTGTACAGTGCTCTTCTTAAATGTGTAGAAATGCCATCATAAGTCAACAATAGTCTACACTTCCCCCTATATATATATATATATATATATATAAGCACAAGCCATAGGTTTTTCACAACCATCAACACATTATAGCTAACAAGAAAATAATGTTATGAACTATTTGATTGTAACACAGAGAAGGAAATCCTGTCTGCATGGACCAAAAGGCCCATTCCACACACACCCTTCCCCCGGGTTTTGTGTTGTCCTATTCAGATGATGCACAGCAAAACCTTTATTCTGGTGCAAGCAGTCCAGACTATGTCTTTGCACCAGAACCAAGGGATAACTATATTAAAATGAATTTTTAAAAGTTACCAATTGCTCTAGATGTTCCAGGAAGATCCAGAGCTCTCTGTTCTTGTGCTGCCACCATGGTTGTCTGCATGGGAACCCTGCTGGGCCACCCTGTATATTTACTATGGGTCACTTGTACTGAGGTCAGAACAAAGTGCTTA